ACACACACAGGTTTACTCATGAATATGTGCAACACATCTATCTCCCCAGAATATGTCTCCCCACAGAGAGAAGGATGGATAGTGAATTAAGGAGACAAGGCACAGGTAACTTGGTAGGAATAAGACATATTCCATATGGACATATGTCCATACAGTCTCTGTGGAGGAGGATTCACCTCTGGTTCCTTCACACCTTGAGCACCCCATTCCACCCCACAGCTTGAGTTTCCTTGCACAGTTACCCCTTTTTTATGGTGTTGTCCTCACTGCACTGGCACAGCAAGTCCAGTAATTAAAGTAGACGAGATGCAATTTTTTAAGGCTGGAATCAGGAAATTATTCTGCAATTATGTAGCATAGACACAAGAATCAAGTTAACACAAAACCTGACACCTCCTGGCTGAGCTCACTGGGGGCCCAATGTTACAGCACCATCCCATTGGCTGCCTTAGGCTGCTTTAATAGGAATGTGTGCCTGTGTAAGCTGGTATCTCACAGCTTTCTGGGCCTGGTCACATCCTTCCTGCTGAGAAAACCTCCTCAGCAGCTCTGAAATTGTCCCTCCCTGCAGGCTTTTCAACAGCTAGCATTGTTCTGGATTTTTGCATAAAAGCTGAAATTGTTGATCCTTTTCAGCAATTTTCTGAAACAGAAAACATATAGTGAGGGTAGGGGTTCCCTCCATTTCCATTCTGTCCCCCTTGTATTTGAGTTTTTCCCTTAATGTTCCTTGGCACAGGTAGTACAAAAGACAAGAGTAACTTCAGCAGTTCATTTGCAGGCTCAGTGATGTTATGGTTGAACACAGCCTGTGGAAGTGGCAGAAGGTGTTCTGAACCATCCAAACACACCTGCTGTCCTGGCCGCTATAAACAGCCCTGAAGAGCCAAACACTATTACACTTCCTCAGTGGAAAGAATGCTCCTGACTTGGCCTCCTGCAGCCCAGCCACATCTGTTCTCTCCCAAACACTGAGAGCAAGAGGAAAGCTGAGGTGACACAAAAGGCACTTGAGTGCAGAGGAGGGGATGCTGAGGTGTCAGTGAGATGGCACCTTCACCTTCCTCTTCATGCTTAGATTAGAAAATTTCTTGATGAAGGGACTGCTTCTAATGATGTGTTTATATAATGTTTTGGAAAATGGGGTCTTGTGAAAGACTGAATGTAGCTCATCATGAAAATTAGGGATGGGAGATATTGTGAATCTTTGGATTCTCGTACTGGATCAAATACATTAATTTTAAATAATGAAGGCTGGAGGAAAGGGCATTGTAGGAAGAGAGGGGAAAAGATCAGGAGTTTCATCGGAAGGAATTATTGAAAGACAAAGGGAAACTTCTCTTGTCCAGATGGGGAGAACCAGAGGCAACACTGAATTTGGGCTTGATTCTGAAAACTGCTGAAATCTATCCAGCTCTCATTGTTTTCATGTCAGATTTTCAGTAAACCAAGAACCGGACCCAATAGGGTTATAAAGTAGATTGTTGCAAGGTAGATTATCAACCTCATCTAAGTCTTGCACCTCATATATTGTGTTTCATGGAACTGGAAAGCCCATGAATGAGGAGTTGATTCTCAGAAAACATGAATCAACTGAACTATTAATTTATGGTAGCTACACTAGTGATAAGATCTGACCCATACAGATTTTGCTTAGAAATGTAATATGCCTATTCAGAAATATTTTTTAAAAACATAACTAGTTGATCCTCGTTGAATATTTCTAAAGTTTTCTTATTATCCCAGCTGTAAATATGATGAAGGCTAGAGTATCCTTAAGCAACATAGACAAGACATATCTCAGAAAAGTGTCTTGTCTTTCAGAACAGACATTTTTCATTCAAACTGGAACACTACAGGTATTGAAAAGACTCATAAGAAAGAGTCCTTGTCTTGGACTGTGATTTGGGCATAGTACAGATGAGGTGAGTGGACAAAGGTGAAGTGGTAGCCAGATGGGGAGTGTGCAACAAGTTTTCATTTAGCAGAAAAGAATCTTGCATTACTAAAAGAGAGTTGTAGCAGCTTCTGAGGGTGCCATGAGCAGTTAATAATTTGCAAACATGGATGATGACATGCCCAAGAGTACTGACTTGTTATATTGGAAAGAATGAGGTACATGAAGAAAGAGATAGCTCTGAAAGACAGCACACCTGGGAGGGCTGCAAATTCCCACTTTAGCCCAGTGTGACCAGCTGCAGGCAGCAAATCTTTCTTGACACTGTGCAATGGTCTTAATCTCCCCTCCCCATTTCTTTACTTTGGGTATCCTTTTCAGCTGTGCAGAGATGTCTGTGCAGGAAGCAGGACAAATGGAAAACACAGAACTTAGCAGTAATTTCTGCAAACACCTGCCCCAAATATGCTGACCTACAGAACTGTGACTCTCTTATGTTTCTTATGATTTTGCACAAGTACATAACACTTTTCTGTTCATGATCCCCCGTGAGTGGTCACAAAGGCATATATAGAAAAAGAGATGATGAATGGAAAGGACTCTGCTCGAGTTTCCTTCTGGGATAACCAGAGTGGAAAAGGCAGGACTGAGTCACTGGAGTGAAATCCAACATTCCACTGAGGTGTCAAGCAATGATTTATCCCTTGGCACACACTGCAGTTGTAAGCATGCTGCCTTATATTACATTTAGCTCTGTCTTTGTTTTCATTTGTCTGTTTTTAAGGCTGATTAACAAAATCAGTAAGGCCATGGAGGAATTGGATGATCTCCTGCCCAAGAAATTTTGTCATTTGGGAAGCAAAATGTCTATTCTGAAGGGAGAGGAAAGAAACCTAAAACAACTGAACCTCCCCAGTTGCCCCTACAATTCTGAAATGTTCCTCTTGATTTTAGGCTTTAACAATGACTTGTTATGGAATATGGCATCTCAAAAAAGTTAAAAAGAAGTAATTTGGCAGAAGGAGTTCAGATACTCTCAAAACATATCATTATATCTTCACTTGTTTCAACAAAAAACAGCTCATCCTTTGCTTCTGATGAAGTACTATATTTGGAAGGAAAGATTACTGCTGAAAAATATCTGCATGGCTTCCTTATGTATTTTCAGTTTTTTTTTTTTTTTTTTTTTCTTAGAATGGCTAAAGTCATGCAGTTCCTCAGTGCTATTAATAATTGTACTTACAATGGTGCTTGTGATGAAGAGTTTGCAGGCAGGAACACAGAAAATCTTGGATCTGAATGCCTGTAAATGAGAGGAAATGAAGCTGGGTGAGGCTGAGATCCAGCTCTGGCTGTGATTGAGGCAGGGGGAAGTTCCCCTCCTTCTGGCACCTGCCGAAGTTCACAGGCCATTTGTTTCAGCACGACTTGTGACCAGCACCACCCATCTGCATCAGCACATGAGTTCAATTGTTGTCTCCTTTAATTAGGGCAATACTGTGAAATTCCAGTTCAGGGCTTCATTCAGGAGGTAGAGACCACAAAAAAATATTTTTTCCATCCTGTTCCTTGTGTTACATTTGGTTTAATCACTGTGTTCTGCTTGGGCTTTTTACCTCACATGGTGGCCTTTGCAGCAAATGAGATTTCCATCAGCAATGAGAAACCTTACCCAAACTCCAGGTGCCACTGCAGAAAATCAGACATTCCTTAGAGGTGCTGCATTTCCCTCTCTTCTGGGGGTGCCACAGAAACCCTTCCAGACCTCAAACCACAGCTGAGATCTAAGTTTGGATGGCTGTCCAAAGACCTACTTTGGACCACTACCTCAGTGTGGGGAAGAAAATAGGTCTTTCCATAGAGCTGAAAATGAGGAGGGTTCATTATGGTCATTTAACTTAATCTCCTGATTATCACAGGCCATAAACCTTTATCTTTGACCAGGGGGAGGTGGGGTGGTAGACTAAACGGATTAGTCTTGGTCGTTGTGGTATTAGCTAGTTCAAAGAGAATTACAATCCCTTAATTACAGCTATCTGCAGTGGGCTTAGGTAGCTTTTGTGCCCTTTTTCCTGCAGAGAGGTTAATTGTTCCATTTCAATCTCACTTTTTCATCCTTTTCTCTTTTGCTGCCCACTGATCTAAAGTGAATCAGTGCACACTCTCCTGAAAGGGTCTGGCTTCTTGTTTAACTACCCTGATGATTTCAAAAGTGCTGTTCATTATTACCATGTTCCCAACAATTCAGTGTGCAAAGATCTGTCCAGAAAGCAAACACAATGCCCAGGCAGCTAAACTGCAGATGTTTTTCTGCATTTGAAAGTCCAAATTCAGTTTACTTAAGTATGAATTCAATAGATTAATCATAGCCTGAGAAAAGTCAGATACTTAATGGGTGCTTGAGAAAAACCTACTGTAAAATATCATGTATATTTGATGAAATTCAGACAAACCATTCTCCTGGAAGATCACTATGTTTCCTATCTGGTTAGGGACTGATCTCTTTATATAGTAACTGTTGCCACAGCTTGTACACACCTGATAAATGATACATCAGTTTTAGAGTAAAATCTGCATCACAGTTTATGGGTTCCAGAAATACAGAAAAGTTCTTGTGACTTGAGTTTTGGATGATAATATGGAAAGAAAAAGGTGTCCCTGGAATTAAAGATATGTGACCTGCAGAAGAAAATGAGACCTTGGAATTCATTTGAGAACCATGATGGAGAACAAAGCTCTTGCTGATACTCTGCTTCCTTTTTCCTCACAGTCCTACCTAAGCTGAAAATATTTTTTTTCTGCCATATCACATCTTCATTAGGTTGTTCTCTGTGTAGACATAAACTTCTTTCTGTCCTAAATATAATGTATCTCAGTTTGTAATATGTGGTATTTTATTCTCCTAAGTTTGGGCCTAGTATGATCTGGAATGTGCTTTGCATCTACATCCATCTGCTCATCCATGAAGTGCATTTAGACAGCCCAAAACCTCAGTATTATGGCAAAGACCCCCTGAGGGTGAATATCACAATCATTCTTGCATGTCTGCTGGAAGGCACAGAGGAATCCAAAGTTTGGTTGAGAATTTGTGCTTACTTTCCAGATGTAGAGTTTCAGAGGAGGTTACAAAAGAGAGAGATGCCATAGAAGAGATGTCAAAAGGTGAGTGCTTGAAGCACCACAGACCTATTTGTTATTCTTTTATTGCTTGAGATTTATTGAAAGGAGCCTGAGTGAATTTTGATAGGAAGAATTGGAACCAAATCCCACAGGAGGGTAATCCTGTGATAAAATAAACCACAGGGTTACTTCTAAAAGTGGAAGCCACTCATTCTGTTTCGTGTTGCTGCATCAATCATATCAGAAGGTGCTTTACAAATCTCCACTGAGCACATTTTTGTTTTAATCCGTTCTTGTTCAAGTCCAGGTTTTTAAAACACACTTTGTTTATTGCAATATTCTCACCAAGGAAAAAGGGTAGATTTTTTTCTATGATCTTGGAAGTTGTTAATGTAATTGTTCAACACAGGAGAATGTTGCCTGGGAAAATGATTCACGATTCTAGAAGACTGGCAGTGTTAGCAGATTTTGAGGATTTTTCAGGCTGTGAGCACAGACCCACACTGATGTCATCTCTGTATTCTGTCTGCTGTTATCAGCCAGGTCAGTAATGAAGGGATTGCACTGCTTCTCTCTAGAACAATGTAAAAATTAACCAAGATGAAGTATCACTCAATAGCCAGCACTCTGAAGAATGCAAACTCATTTCCTCTTGGGTGATAGGCAAGTAGGATGGCTATTCCTCATTGCCTTTGCTCCTTGTCATCTATATTTACTTCCAATTCACTCCCAAGAGACCCTGGTTGTTAAAGAAAGCACATGCAGGTATTTGGGTATGAGCATATCCCTCCCTACAGCCCTCACAGCCCAAACATGTACAGGAGGAAACAGAAGTGGGGAAAAAATAGGAAAAGTTACAACACTGTTTATGGAGAGATATCTAACTCTTGGTCTGTCCAAATGGCAGGAGAACCTACTCATGACCCAGGCCCTAGAAAATGTCCAGTGTAGTAACAATCATATAAGCAACAACAAGGAATTACAAGTGTTGAAGGAAAAGAATGGTTGTGCAAGAAGAACAGAATAGGACATAAATAATAAAAAAGTTGAACTAGCAGTTTAGCAAGGGGATGGCATATCAAAAGAAAGGTCCTGGAAGAGACTTTTAAAGATCTGGTGGAGCAGATCTAATGGACTTTTAGCAAGATATTTGCCTATTACATTAATTTGATATGGATGTCTTGGACTAGAATGAGTGGTGCATCTAGTCCTAAATTCCTAAATCCATACAGGTATAAATGTGTATTTTGACCCCTTCTCTACTACTCTTTTTCACATTTTGTGTCTTAGAACTAGGCAGCCAAGTTAGAATATTGCAAGATGGGAAAAGCCATCCCATGTACAAAAAAGTGCACATTTTCAAATGAGACTTATGCTTCACTAAGCATAACTTAGTGTCACTAAAGTGCTTGTCACTGAAATGGGAGCTCCTATACAACCTCTCCCTTCTCCTTTTCCTGCATCTTTCTCTCCATTCTTTAAAACCTTCCAGTCTCAGGTTTTGTGACTGACAAAATCCATGTCAGGTTGTTTGGGTGATCAGCTTCAACTGTCAGGACATGACAGCTCACTGGAATTGAAGTGGCAGGAGCTCTGGGATGGCAAGGAACACCCTGGGATCACCCAGGCTGGTATTAACAGTTTAAAAGAGAAGCTGCTCTGAGCCAGCAAAAGTTTCGTGTTTCAACCAGCCAGTGGAAGATTCCAAATTATGTTCTACTTATAATTCCAGGACACTCTTTTTAATTGTCCTTGCTGGAAACAACAGAATCCCACCAACCTTCTCTTTACACAGTTAAGAGGTTTAACACAGTGAAAGCACCAGTGAGCAAAACTGGAATTATTTTCCTGAGAAAGATCTATGCTAGCTCAATATTAATATTTTATATGGTTGAGTTTTAGGGATTTTATCCATTTACTTTGCTTTAGAATCTGCACATACTCCCATACGTATAAAACTGCAGCGAGGCAATTTGTAGAGGTTGTTCTAAAATCAACATTGCCTGCATTGGTGAGGCATGGAACTTTCCAAATAATTGAAGGAAGCAGAAGGTGCAATCTTGCCTTGCTTCTTTTAAACAACTTGAATAAATGCAAGAAAGAAAAATGGGAGTAGGTCAGGAAGTAATTAAACCTGTTGGGATCCAGATGAATATCTGACACTGCTCAGGATCCCCCTGCTAGTTCCCTCAGCTGAAAAATGCTGTAGGATCGCCACAGAAAAAAATGTTTTAAAAGGGGGAAATATAAAACTCACTTCAGTAAAATATTCCAGACTTTTATTGTAAATGAGCTAGGAAAAAGCATTTAAAACACTGAGAATAGCTAAAGCTTGTACTATGGATGCATGTTGAGACAGAGATATCAAACCCTTGTTCAAATGGAAACAGTAAAATCTGGGAGCAATGTGGGAGCTGACAAAACACCTTGCTCCCATCTCCTGTTATGTCTAGCTACATCAATGTAAGATAAACCAGAGCCACATCTGGCTTGTCTAGTCTCCAGAACAATATGGCTACATCCCAACTTTCTTTGGGGTGGTCTCTCTTTCATGTGACCTAAAAGTCTCAAACCCACCCACTAGCAAAGTTCTGGCTCTTCAAAGATGAAATAATTTAGGTACATCCTCCTATATTAAAGCACTTAATAGGATGAGTTAATTTAGGAAATGAGGTGCCCTGGCCTGTCTCTATAGTGACCACCTCCTCCCTCCAAATCTACCTGCCCTTCCCGCTGGAGATGCATCTGACTGTGTGACTGGCCAGGACTTAGATTAGGCACACTGGTTAGTTGTTTATTTTCAGAACAATAAACAACTGCAAATTTTGACCCTTAGCCTTGGCTTTGCCTTGGTCACTTTTGACAAAACTGGATCATTCAACAGAGTGAAAAGTTGTACGTCTCAGCCATTAGGTCACTCTGAAAGTCCCAATCTCATGGGGCTGGAATATGATCCTGCAGAGCTGGAGATACCCAGGGATGTCACAGCTCATTCTCTTCCTGTTTGCTGCTGCAAGGTGGGGGAAAACACAAAATAAAACACAGTGTTATTTTGGGATCACAGACACCCTCTCACCACCCTCTGATCTCGGTTTTCTTTTATTCATTTATTCAAAGTTATATAGGGAAATCTAACTTAGCTTAGGTTCAAGGAAAAGTTAATGCTAAAAATGATCCATCAGTAACATATTTAGAAACATTAGAGTCACAAGTGATGAATATGGGCGCAGTCCTAAATCCATATCTGAATTTTTCAGTGGCCTAATTTTGAAAAATGTGGAGCATTTCATAGTTTGATCTTATCATAGAATCATAGAATGGCCTGTGTTGTAGGGGAACTTAAAGATTCTCCAATTTCTATCCCCTGCCATGAGCAGGGACACCTGGCAGTAGAACAGGTTGCTCAGAGCTCCATTGATTGAACATTTTCAGGGATGGATTATCCACAGCTTCTCTGAGAAACCTGTGCCAGGGCCTCACCCTCACCACCCTCACCACTCTCACAGGGAAGAATTTCTTCCTATTATCTAATCTAAATTTCTATTTGAAACACTTTTTTCCTCTGCAGCAATTATCACCATCTCTGAAAGAGTTCAGGTTTACCTTGGCCAGCAGGTGCCCACCCACACAGCCACACACTGACTAAGCCCCCCTCCCAGCAGGACGGGGAAAAGAGCTGGAAGAAAAAAGCCAAAAAATCTTGTGGGCTGAAGTAAAGGCAGTTTAAAAGTGAAGGGAGGAGGAGGAGGTGTGTTTGGCCACAGCTAACTCATGTCTGTGTCATCAGCACTGCTTTAGTCACGGATCCAAAATGGAATGCTATGGAGGAAGTCAGCTCAGTCCCAGCCACACTCAGTACACACCCCTGCAATTCTTCCACATAAAAGCAGATATAAAGTTAATGAGCCTCATTATGCCTGTCTCTCACAATTCTTGCTTTATGCTAATGTATGCTAAATGGCTTCTATAAAGTTAGTCTGAATTTGTAGAGAAGTAAACGAGAAGATATTGAATTATTTGCTCTCTGCCCCAAACACTATTGGTAGTTTCTTCTGTAATGTTCTCCCTTGAGGCACCTAAAGTCAACCAGAGGAGCTGGGGCAGAACCTGCCATGGCATTGGTGCCTTCCCATAAGCAGTGTGCACTCCTGTACAAGCCCAGCTGTGCTGGTGTGTGTGACACTGAGGAAGATGGGTTCTGATGGATCCACTCCAGCAGTCACCTACACCAGGCTCCCAGGAACGCTGCCCCAGCCATCCCATGGGCTGCCCTGTCAGACCTGTCCGTGGTGTGCATTGGAGGATGGATCAGACACCAATGAGTGTCCATGGGATGAAATAGTGTTGGGTCAGGCAGAGCTGGGGTGCTCAGGCTCTGCACAATGTGGATGTTGTCCCATGTTCAGATTAAGGTCGGGGTTCTCTCACTCCTCAGGGTGGAGTTGCCTCACCTTTGGATTGGCAAAGGAGGATCCATTGTGCCCAACAACCTCTGTGTCTCCTGTCACAACTCAGTGAGGGCTTTTTGGAAACATAATTTCAATTAGGTGGAATACTCCAAATTAAATGCATAAAAATAAGTTTAAATTACTTAGATATCTCTGGCCTCACCTGATTACCTTTTGCCTGCTGTAAGGAACATGAGTTGCTTTGAGGCTCAAGTCTGTTCCCCTTCAACACCCTCCAAACATGCAGTTAATTGGAGGGCTGTGCCATAACTGCTCCTGGATCAAAACTCCTTCTAAAAAAGAAGTTTTCAGTTCCAATATCACCTGTTCCAATACTGATACACATCAAAAGCAGTAAGTGCAGAGACATAACTATTTCCTAATAGGATTTTAAAATAATGGAATCAAGCTACTTTAGGCATATCTGTTTTCATTGTCTTTTCTGTCTAATTTTACATGACAATTATATTTATTAAACAAAGGCTGGCAATGGTGTTAGCACCAAGTATATACAGATAGCAGTTTCAATCTTTCTTGTGTTTTTTAATTAATCTCTTTGATGTAATAGACCTTTCCTCTGCATTATGGGTCCCAAATACAATTTTAGAAGTATATTTGAAAACTGAAAATACTGCTATATTTTCATCTGCCATTGAAGAAAATTCCATGCCTTTTCTTTGGAGAGGAGTTTAAAAATACAGAGCAATTGTTAGGACTCTGAAGATACTGATAGAAAGATTGGTGAATTGTAAGAAATTCAAAGAATAAGAAAACTAATACATGTTCCTGGTACTGACTGCTATCAAAAGGATTACAGACCACTGGGAAATGGGAATTTCATTTGTTTTCATTTGTGCACAACCCATATGAGTAAAACCAGGGAAACAGAGTAAAAACTGCAAATATCTGTTGGCTGCAAATTTCAGAGAGGAAGGGACTGTAAAGCCATTGTTAAAGAACATGAAGAATAAATGTCTCTTTGAGAGAGAATCTGTGCCAGGAATTGTTTTCCTTTGCATATATCCTGCTGTGGTGAACAGCTAGCTGCCAGTCAACATGGAGATTCACTGGGGAAATTAGCTTCAAATTAATTTTTCAGGGCATTTCTGAATAATATGAGTTGTCTCCCAAGCAAGGACTGTGCCTCCCATCAGCAATATTTGGCATAAGAAACCCCAGGATATGGATGAGATAAACTCTGTACAGTCATCCCCACTTTATATGTACATTAGGGCTGGATGAGTCCAGAATATGAGGATGGAAAAAAATAGAATAATAAAAATGTCTAGGTTGTATACTAGAAAAGGTCAGTTTATTGCTTTCCCTTTCTCTTTTTTTTATGAACATGGTTTATTTCCTTCCAGTAGTCTGGAAAATACAACATTAACAATATCCTAGGGGAAATAAAACAACAAACCACCTCAAAATATCAAAATCTATTTAATTTCATGAACAGAACTTATTAAACAGCAAATATATTATAAAATTATTTAATTTTGTTTCATGATACATTGTCAAATTAATATTCAGAATCTTACATTAAAAAAGAACAAGACAAGGAGAAACACTTCTGGAGAAAATATCTCTGTTGGGATTTATTCAATAATTTTAATTATTCTATGTGTTTATTACAGAACTGGTTTTTGTAACATCTCAGGAAGGAGATATTAGATATTAACATAGCTGGCATCTTCTGGGTGCTTCTTTCAGCTCTGTCATACATTTCATGACAACAAAGGTTAATGTTGGGGTCTGAGGTGGTTGCCATGTGTATTTTCCAATATCTCAGGATATCCTGCCTCAATATTTCTCCCCTTCTTTCCTTTTTCTTCTTCTTCCCTTGAAGATAAAGCCCTGTGAAGTTAAGCCAGGACCAAGGCCAGAAGAACAACAAGGAGATGTTAATTCTCTGGTAGGACACTGACTGGTGAGTGGGCACAACTGGAATTTGGGTGTCAGTTTGCAGGAATGGGTTTTTCGGGTGATGTTCTAATCACAGAGTCACAGAATGGGGTGGAAGGGACCACAGTGGCTGATCTGGTTCCACCTTCCTGCTGCAGCAGGGCCACCCCAGAGCACAGGACTGTGTCCAGATGGTTCTGGAGTATCTTTTGAATGTCTATATTGAATATATAAATGCTCAATAAGGTAGTAGGACTGCTGGGACTCTGCAGGAGTTCCTTAACTACCAAGCTAGGACAAGACTCCCTTCAGCCTGGTCATTTTCTGATTCTGTGACATTTGTTCTCTCATTTCAACATCAAATTGCATTGTTGAATATATTTATCATGGCACAACCCACTTCTTCAATTTCTCCCGCAAAATTTTGTACAAAATTCTCCATCAGTACATCATTCTGTGGGTGAGTGCACTAAAGAGGAAGCAATCCTATGGAAAAATTACAGGATGCTGGCACAAGTGGCCAGATTACTTATATTTCTATCAGTGTTCAATACCTTGGAGTTTTTTAGAGCATGCAGGCAGTCCTGAAACCTGGGAGTTTAGCTTGTTGTGCATCTCTAGGGAAAACATGGTACCCATCATGAAGAAAACAGAGCAGGGAGCTGTGCTACATGCTCTGAGAAGTTTCAGCCTGAGCAGGGTGACATTCACAGTTTTGAGATTCTTCCAACCAGCTTAATCAACTCTGAAAAACAGATGGGACTGTATGTCATGGGGGTCTGAAGGCTTCTGCTGCAGCACAGAAAAGTGCCTAGAAGTACAGGTTCTTAAAAGGGGTTATTATCCAGTTGCGATAGTCCTGAAATGAAGGAATAGACTACAATGACAACTGGTAATGACTTTAGCATTTTAAAATGGTCAAATAATGTATGGAATGGTTAACTAGCAATATTTAATAGGCATATTTTTTTAAAAGATGCTTTTGTTGTCTGGAAAGTCCATGATTTCTGCCCTCAATTTACCACCAAATGTAGCCTTAATGAACAGATTCATTATTGTTGCAGCTTGAAAGGAAGAAAAAAACCCAAAACCCCAAACCATGAACCCCCTGCCCATTGCATTACAACCATATTACTTCCTGGTTTTGGATGAGGACTACAAATATGGATTTCATGTCAGCTGTACAGAGAGTGTCAGCATTATGTTTTGCACTTGTCTGCTTGCTCATCACATTTTAATTAATGAGGGCATGAGCCAAAACAGGTGTTGGTAACAGAACAGACAGCAGCTGGCAAACAATTTTTAGATCTACAATTGACTCATTTATACCATTGTTCTGGAACAGAGGGTTCATAGATATTACAGAGAAGGAGTTAATGTAATTTTACAGAGGAGATTTTCAGGCTGAGCTGTAGAGGCACATTATTTTTTTTCTATTTCTGTTTTGCTAGATTTTTTAAAATTACTTTTTCTCAGGCTTAGTTCTCATGGTAAAACTGATTGAAAAATTTAGTTTGGGTGGTTTTTTTTTTNTTTTTTTTTTTTTTTTTTTTTTTTTTTTTTTTTTTTTTTTTTTTTTTTTTTTTTTTTTTTTTTTTTTTTTTTTTTTTTTTTTTTTTTTTTTTTTTTTTTTGAATAAAGAACCCTAAATTCATTTCGTTACCATCTATTTTTCCAGAGAGAAAGTGGCATAAATTGCTCTGGAACTAGAGCTCAGCAAAACTCTTTTCCAAATCTGTGTCTGTATAAATTGCCACAGAATGAAAGTTGTATGAGTCCATCAAAACTTCAAGCACATTATGAATCTAATAAAACTCTAAACTTTATCATTCCGGCATCCCAGGCTCTTTAAATCATATAACTGACTTTCTACATCCTTGCTGTTGCTCATTCCAAGACTTTTCAGATATAGCTCTTTAATTGTAAATTTCTGTCATTCCCAGGTGTGTCTGCCATTCACTGGAAGTTTACAGCTGGATGTCTAAAGTGAGCAGGCAAAAATCCCATTGATCCACAAAGCCATCAAGGGTAATAACTTGGTGCTATTTGCCATTTCTGCACGGTTTTGTGTCACAGCAAATTCCATGAAGTAACTAAAGAGGTAGTCAACAGACTTAAAGAGAGAAAAGACCAGGTTGCTCTGATCAAATCATTCCTCAGGTCAGTTAACTGATTATTTTGAAGAAATGTTTCATGTTATAGAGCTAATCAATGGCTCCATTTTAGAAGCATAACAGGAGAAATAGTGGCCATGACTCTGGTGACACAGGAAGTACAGAAAGGGTGGTAAAAGAGGAGGATGCAATCAGCTTCGAGGCTAGATCTGCAAAATGTGACCTCTGAAGCTTAAGGAGTTGAAGAAAACATAAAGAAAAACCTCTTTAATATCTTCAGGTCCTTCCATATCCTTATGAGCCCTGGAGAGGAAAACATGCACCCTGGGATGCCTCAGGATGGTCAACCTGCTTGTCCAAAGAGTGGAACATCTTGATATTGGTATTGATGATTTCCATGATACAGCTGTGGAGATAAGAAATTTCCTGATCCTTGAGACTTTGTTCTTTGCCCACAAGTATTTAAGTTATCTGGCTTTGATACCAGCCACATTAGAGTCTCAGTGGTGTATAAACTGCAGCTGAGACCAGCCAGGAACAAATTGGTGTCAGGATTCCGGCCCAGGCACGACCTCCAAATTCCTGTGTGGTTTCATGGCCAGCACAGCTCCTGGCACGCTTTTGGCATGTGCTAATTAGCACGGCCACAGACAGGGCCCTGGCACTGGCTGGGGATCACATTTCTCAGAAACTATTCCCACTGGTAATTTAACTTTAGACACTTTGTTTCAGGGGAAGGCGAGTTTTGATATATGACCATCAGTAAAATCATGTCGTTTTTGGCCTCAGAGAAATGTCCTTAACAGCTTTACTTAGCGGGATTGGCAGAGCTTGGGGGAGCAATGGAAAACTAGAAAGCTTGCAAGCATCCCTTGAAATTGAAGGCTAGATCTGTGAGTTATTGCATGAATGTCACAGCATAAGGGAGTGCAATCTTTAAACATTAAGAGTTTATATCCTGAATGACCCAAGAGGCCACATGAATATTAGCTGTTATACAGGATATTATTCTGTGCACATAATATACCTGGAATAATTAACAGAGTAATGGATTTATGTTACTACAGTAAATTTATACTAGCCATAATAATTTTAATATATGCATATGTCTTTGAAATTATAGCAGCTGTAAAACTAGTGCTTTTCTTTATTAAAAACACCTAGATCAAGGAGTTCAAAGAAGGGCCAAGGACCAGATTTGTCAGGTAGCATTGTGGTTTAACCCCAGTCAGCAATTGAACCCCACACAGCCTCTTGCTAATTCCCCCTGACTAGGAGTGTATTATGATTGGTTAAAGAAACAGGATGGAAATTAAATTTCCTTGGACTAGGAAATCATTAGATTTAATATTACTTTGATGGGGAATTGGAATTCTTTTATTAAGTAGTGAAGTATTAAATGGGTTAAAAAATGTCTTGGTGCCAGATCTCAAACAGATGTTATTCATTAGCTATTACCTGTATGGGCCCTTAGATACTTTTGCAAGTGCATTTAATATTTTTATCAATATTTTAGGAAATAAAAATGCTTTATGGCTAGACTGACAGACAATGTGAAGACTGACATAGCAGCAAATATGGGGGAAGTTTATAATTTATTAGAATGATTTGAATATCTTGGTTTCAAGCCTGGAGATTTCAGCTTTTCCCACAGTAAATTTATATCAGATTAACAGACTATCTTGATCTGATTGACTGCATTGACTAGATCTTCATTTCCTGTCTAAACTTAGACATTTAACCTTTCAGTGTCAATAAAAAAAAGTAATACACAGGGAAAGAAGGGGACAGGCTTTGTCATGGCATGTGGAGACCTACTGAGGACTTGACAAAGATCCTGGGGTCTCTAGAGTCCAACCTTCAAAAAATAGATTTCAGGAATAGAAAAGTGATCCTTCCCATAAATAAGGGTGTGATAAGATTGGTCTAAGCCCTTTCTAGTTGTGGGATACCCATGTTAAGATGTGAAAATAGTATTAGAGAGAATTCAGGAGAGGGTTCAAATATTGGAAACCAGCCCTACAGAGTAAAGCTCCTTGGAGCTTATCTAATTCACTTCATAAAAAAAAAAAAAAAAAAAAAAAAAAAAAAAAAAAAAAACCTATAAATTTAACTTCAAAAAAAAAAAAAAAAGAAAAAAAGACATGAGTTAATCCCTATGTGCAGCTATTTACATGTAGAGATGTGTGGCAACAGTGAGAGTTTCAAATTTATGGACAATGTCTTACCAGGAATCACAGGCTGCAAATCAAAGGTAAATAAAATTGACCTTCAGATAATCCATTCCTGTATTGTATGTAATAAGGATGGTTAAATGCAGGAGTAGCTTATGGGGAGAGGAAGTTGAAGATACCACCATCAGAAAGACTCTCAATAAGAATGGGGTCTTTTAAGAGAAATTATTTACCCTCTGAATATGGTATTTATGCTGGTTCACTCTGTCACTAGATTTTGTACCCATTTTTTTAGATGCAAACACTTCTAATCCTCTGAATAGTTCAGATAAGATATTAGCATGAAGATAACCTGCAATTAATTATCAGGGCTTTCACTAGTCATCAAGGAGCAAAGCAATTATAAAAAATGGTACAATGGAAATTCCTAGATGATATTTCTGAGAAATGTATTGTTAGCCATTCATTTGTGACAAAAAGATGAGTGGTGTGATGCAAATATTCTGAAAAGCCACATTTTTAAAAGTCAAATTTGGAACATATGCCTCAAAACTCAGCATCAGTTTTTGTGTGGAATTGATGTCTTGATGTGTTGTTATTTAGTCCTTCTAAAAGCTAAAATGAGGGGAAATGTTAGGCTGATAAGAAAGAAGACTGTCACTTATGGTTGATGAGAGATTTTTAAAGAAC